TTTACACAATACCCATGTAGAATTTAAACAGTTCATAATGTAATGGATATTACACAGGAGCCTAACACTACAATTAAAATGATTTTCATCAGATAGAGAAGCTCTGGTTAATCAGCTTCATAAAAGTAAATATAAATGAACTAATTCATAGCTTAAACACACAGAAATTGAACCGGCTTCAGAAAGAGTTGCTGGTGGGGCTTCTGCCCCTCTGGCTGTTGGAGCCCACGTGTACGTGCTGGTGCCTGAAACGTTAGCTAATGTCAGTGTCTTTTCCTTCCTAAGTACGGGGTCATGCTGTGAATCCCTGCTCAGAAACCATGCAAAAAACAAATACCGAGCAGTGCCAGCTTGGAAACTCCGTTCTTTGTTGTTGGGAGCGATCAAAGCCAAACTTCTCAAGCGCCCAAATCTAGGCCTAGCGCTGAGCTCTCAGAACGAGGGAAATTTCAGTGGGAAAAGTTAGATGGAGAAAGCGAGGCCGTGTTCCCGGAGAGGTGTTCCCGCGCGCCGGGCGCGTTCCCGGCGTTCCCGCTGCGCAGCGCCGCAGCTCCGGAGCTGCCGGCATCCCTTGGCTTTGGCATCCCTCGGTACCGCACAGCCGCCCGGGCGCTCCTAGGGCCCGTCTGCAGATCACGATGAATGCTCCGGTGTTCCTGCCTTATCACTGGTAAATAGATAAAGCCAATTTCAAAAGGAAGTGAGGTGATGTCTTGTGCTCTTAGAGGAGTCACTTAGTAGTCTCCAGCCTTTCTCCAAGTGGAATATTACAACGTAGTTGCTACTTATCTGCAGCAGTTTGTCTTTAGCTACAGTCTTCCACTCTGCCTGGGAGAAACAAGTAAATAAAGCCCATATTTCAAGCTTGATTTACTCGGATACCTACTGTGAAAGATTATGACTCTTTAGGGAAATAAAGACAGGGTCAGGGAATTAGTGTACATAATGGTCATTTTGATAATGGGCCAACAGATGCAACTGGAAACATACTGTACACAATTAAGCATAATGCACTAATGACAGGTTAGAGTTTTTATCGCCTCTTTGCGATCGAGCAGCAAATCCAAGTTTAGCAGTAATAAAGAGTTTATTGGCGCTAAAGCCAAAGATTTTCTGACATAGGAAAGATTTTTCCTTTCTTAACAAGAGTATTAAATCCTTTGTTTACTAGGCTCTAGAAAAGAGATATGCAAATATGAAATATGTCAGATATTTCTTGGGAAAAAGCCCATTAAGGGGTAATAGGGTAAAGGATGAGAATTACCATTTGACTTGAAGTGCCTTCTCCCCACCTCTTGCCCCGGCCCTGGAGCAGCATTCCCTGTCCATGGACAGCTCTGCTCCACAGAGCTGCATTTCCTTACTCCAGAGTTGCGGATAATGATCCAAATCCTAGGGTTTCCGCTGTCCAAAATAGAGCAGCCTTGTCATATCTGGGCAGTTCTGCATTCTGCATCAGAGCAATACCTTATCTGTGGGCTTAATTGAACACACTATCTGCATACCTGAAATAGGGCTGATGAGTGGAACAGAATTGTTCTTCAAATCTGAGCGTCCTCAGGATGCTCTAGCTCCGTATTTTAAATGAAAAGAAGGGAACCTCTGTGGATGACTGCTTGTGCAGCCAGTGCTTTGGCTGGGTCTCGAGGCCTGCCAGAGATAGGCTGCAATAATAGTGTTTCTAGGAGGTAATACTTAGTTTTCTGCAGTGAATACTTCCTTAGCCAAACAACATTTGAATCGGATCAAGCTCAATCCACCCCTCATGCTCCTAATACTAAGTATTTTCTTGCTTGGCTAGTGTAAAATTCAAGTACGAAAGTCTAACTAGACCATTTGCTGCAGCACCTCTTCTCAAGGAGGTTAAGAAGAGGTGAAAAGGATGAAAAGACACTTGCAGGGCTTTAAAAATCTTCTGTGGAAAAAACATCTTTCATATCACAAAGAAAGTCTCCTGTAGGTTGTTATGTGCGCGAGGTGGAGGCTTAAGAGCAGACACATTTGCAGATGAACTGCTTTTACTAGCTTCTCTGAGACATGACATTTGTTCAGAAGATTAGCCAGGTTGTAATGTGTAGCATAATTGCACTGTGCGGATGTCCCAGAAGTGAAAACCTAATTGCTTGACAGGACTATAACTTTGTGGTACGCGCTCACCTTGTTAGGTCCTTTTCTGATGCAGTTCAAATGAAGTCTGGCCGCAGGTGTGCCTAATTTACCTCGCAACAGAACGTGTTGAGTTTAATTGCACAGTGGTTGTTAGGAAAAATTGGTGGGTGGAATATCAAGTGACTTACTGTACGCCCGTGGCAGATGGGCGGAAAGAGGCATCGGCAGCTAAGTGTATAGGTGAGGTGAGTTAATAAAAGAGGTAAATTTTATCTTAAAATAGTGAAGTCTTGTGGTAGGTAATACATTTTAATTAAGGAGGTGGCAGTCCATTTCTAGGAGAGTGAAAGAAAAAACAGAGAAAAAGGAAACCACGGAGGCTGAATTTTTCTCCGTATCAGTGTTTCAGGAACAGTTTATATGTTTAGGAAGGGCATTGCACAAGACTATATCTATTTAAAAGACGGTGTTTGTGTTCATGAGGCAAAGTGCAGCAGTGCCAGGCAAGGCAGGAGAAGCTGGGCCTCTTGTTCTCCTGGCAGCACCAAAGTTTGAGGAATAACGCAAGGGACCCGAAATGCCCTCCCCTCCTGCTTGCCCTGTTGTGGAGCTCCCGTCCCAGCAGCGCCAAGCAGGCCTGGCTTGCTGACATTGCTGTATTCCTCCCCAAACCCTTGCTCCGTGAGCTACTGAAAACACGCACTCGTCCCATCATCAATATCAAGAAATGCACAGAATTTGGAGTTTCAGTGCTGCTCGTGTTGCACCCCATTACTGGATCCTCTTTATTTAGCTTGATGTTCAGGTTAATTTCGGTAAGCTTGGATATGTCTAATGCCACCAAGCTCGCCTTTTCGTTTGTGTGTGTTTTCCCCCACCAAATGACTGTGCTGACGCCAGATTCTAGCTGATGTGCAGGGAGAGCTGAGGGCCGTTTTTGACAGGGTGTTTCTGCCTAGAGACAATTCATCGTGAATGCTGCACGTTCCCAGCCCCGCCAGGATCACACTTAGCATTCCCCGTGCACAGCCCGTGTGAGGATTTGCCAGCAATTTCCAAACATTAACTCCATGAGGCTCCCTGCAGCCACGCGAGAGCCGAGAAATGCGGCCCCGCTGCTCTTCCAAGGGGCTGCTCGGGACACGGAGGCCGGAGGACATCCCGGCTGCTGATCCTCCTGGAGGACAAGGTCCCTTCCTGCGGCGGGAGTCAACCCCACTGCCGTCCACGCGGGAGGCGACGTGGATGGAAGAGCGAGATGGCTGAAATGCCATTGCGCTTATATTATACCCAGCTGATGAGTTAGTGTCTGGAGATCATAAGGGTATATCTTAAAAAAATCCCAAGGGTGGTAAAATTTGGATGGGAATGTGGCTGTGGAGGAGGCAGGTTCAAAGTCTTGGGATTGCAGATGCTCCTGGTAGGGTTCCAGCAACGCTGGGTCTAGAGAACCGGTGTTGGATTGAGCATTTGAGCCAGGTCCCCTCAACCACCAGTGAGATCCAAAGCTCCTACAGCTAAAAGGCTATGACCCTTTTTCAGCATCTCAGGATGGAAAGTTTGTTTTTTTTTAAAAAAAAAAGTGCATTGAGCTGAACTGACAGCATTGATTTATTCATGTGCAATTTAAAGAAACCAGGTCATTTCCCTGCTCACGTGTCTCTTATGAGAGATGCCCCTTCCCAGTGGTCCTGCCCCATGCCAGGGCTCTGTCCGAAGCTCTGCCCAGCCCGGTGGTTCCGAAGGTATCGGCTGGCGCTGAGCTGGTGGGCTGGCACCTCGGGCAGCTCTGAGCCTGGCTGCTCCCTAGCTGCTCATCGCTGGCCCAAAGTCAGACCACAGCTCGTGGTTATTGTACAATGTGCAGATATTATCCGTGAACAGCTTCCGTACCGGGGAGGGACGAGTGGCGTCCCCAGCCCGCACGTGTCCGTGTCCCTCCGTGTGCCGGTCAGTGCCGCGGCACGAGCGCTCCGCTCTTCGCAGAGCAGTTCTCCAAAACGGGGCAAGAAGGAAAAAAATTGGAACCACCCCCTGTTCACTCGTTCACCAGCAGGAAAGGAGATGGCATCGCTTGAAGTGTCTCCCTTCCTTTCAGTGTCTCCTGGTTCCTACAATGCTGCGGTGCAGGGAAGAGCCTAGATGAGTGATTTAGTGCTAAAAAATTACTAAAAATTTAGTAATTTAGCACTAAAAATCTAGTGCTAAAAAATTACTTGCCACTCAGCTCCAACAGGCTGGATTTCTGTGCTGAGGTAGCGTGTGACTCCTTCCAGTGCAAGGCTGGCAAAGGCTAAAGTGGCCAGAAAATAGGATATACTTCTGCATGTTCTCCATGCTTTCAAACACCGAGTGCCAGGGGCTGTCCTGGGCAGATCCCTGTTGGACTCTCACCGAAGACAGCAGGACTTGGATCAAGTCCTTTTGAACCAGAGGCGAAGCCAAGAGCTTTTAAGAAGACTCATCATTCATTACCTTGGAGTTTCGCAGCAGAGAGGTCGTTACTGCTAATGCAAGTTGTGAAAAATAAAACTTATTAAATAAATAGAAACAAATTCTCCTCTGGTGTAAGTCGTTGCCTTTGAAGTCAGTGACTCATTGAAATCAACTTTCCCACACCGATTTACAACAGCTAAGGATATGGCCTGCAGTCAATACATTTATAGTTGCTGAAAAATTAAAAATATAAATTTGCCTTTCCCTGGCAGTAGTGTTCTGTTTATGACAGAGATCTTATGCTTTAAAACAAGTTCATTAAGTAATAGGAAAGTAATATTTCACAACCAGTATTCTTTTGGGTATAACTATTTATGATTAAATTTTATTAAACTTCTTTTAATTGGATTTACATTTTGATGAATCTAATAGATTTCAATTTTCTATTTTTATAGATTCTTTCTAAAGTTTTTCCTCAAGTGCAATCAGAACTGTTTGAAGAATGCAGGCAACCCACGAGATATGCGGAGATTCCAGGTACAGAGAGTTCTTAAAAGACAAATGATATATGAAAGATGTATACAAAAATTCAAATTGCTTAACTGTGAACTTTTCTTTCTGAAAATAGAATGGGGGTGCTTCTACTTAATTTAAATTTCAATGCTGTATGTCTTTCAAAAAAGAGCTAACAATATTTTACATTTTCCCCAGTAACTTCATGCTTGTTCTTGGCACTCAAAAGGTCAATAGTAGACGGTTCCCTCACACTACTTTCATTGTAGCACTGAAGATCCTGAGACCTCTAGAGAATTTTTTACACACGTAGTCTGAGTGTCGTCCAATTTGTATTAAACAGTAGAAATACAGCCGTGGATGTCATGGAAGTTTGGAGCCTACACTGTAGTTCTCCTAATCACATAACTTGCAGATCCAGCAGTGGTGGTTCAACCCACGTATTTTTCTTCCAACTGTTTTAGAAAGTGTTTAATACTTCATTTTCTCCCTACAGCTTTTGAAATACCCTGTGGTGAATCATAACACTACAGAAAGACATCTGACATGTTGGACAAATGATTTCCTTCATATTTGGGGTCATTTGAAATGACCCCCATTCTTATTAGGAAATAATATCTTTTTTATTTCAAATTATTTCAAAATGATTCATATTTAATAACAAGCAACAAACTACTATTGAGATGTTCAAAACTTTCTAATATTTGAGAAGAATAACTTGTGGTTAAACCTGATAGCAAAACATGTGACATCTGCTTTCATGCACAGCCAACCAACCGGTGAAGCCAGAACCCTCAAACCAGCCAACAGAAAAGATCTGTAGCTGGGAAAAAATATTTCTTCAAAACAATTGAGCCAGGCTTCCATTTTTCATGCATCTCAGCTTCACGTGGCATTGGTGATATTGATCCATGCGAGCAGAACAGAAGGTCAAACCTGGAATGAGTGGAAATGTCCTCTTTGTCTCACCGATGACTAAATGAAGCATCAGTCATGAGTGATCTTGTGGTTGGCAATGGAGCCAGTAGACACTAGAAAGACTTTCCAGTCTCTTTAGCTAATCTCCCTGCCTCTCAGAAGGTTTAACTGGACTTAACAGTATGTCAGATCTTGGACAATATTTTTAACTGGTTTCACCATCTCAGCACCTTTGTTTAGGTGCACTGCAGCAATAAGACAATATAACAAAACATAGCATGTCTGCTTGCTTTTGCTGAACTACACTATTTTCCCTCGGTGACTGACCTATATATACATGACAGAACAAAAATAGTTGTCATTTTTACATTCGCCTTTCTCTGCCTTTTCCATATACCATGTTCTAGGACCTCAACGCAGAAATCGGTGCTGAAAATCACGCTTGTGATTCACACCAGTGAATACGGAACAGGATCAGAGGTGATCCAAAACACGGACACAGACAGGAATTTCCCTCTGATGCCTTGCACTAGCTCTGTGCAGAAGCAGAATAGTTTTCCCCTTCATTTTTTTTTTTTTTTGTCCTTATGTATTTGGCCTAACAGATGATGTGAGAGCTCTGAAAATCATTTTTGTTACAGCCAGAAGTAAGTTAACCAGGAGATGAAAGCAGAAATTTGTGCTGGCTTTTGCTCCCATCACTAGTCCGCTTGCAAAGACCCAGTAGCCTAACTCAGCCGTTGACTCTAAGAACTCGACTAACGTTAAACCACCAAAAAATGCTGCAGTGATTCTTCATTTAGAAAATCCGGAACCACCAGCACAGGGGCCATGCTGGAGTATTTAAATAAGATGTAAATGTCTGCCTGGGATGGTAACAACCAATGTATGGAGCTATGCTATGCACAAGCGCACGCACATTTTGTAATTTCCTCTTTGGCTTGTGCTCATGGAATATCATTTCCGGAGTGTATTTCACGAGCGCGTTGTGTAGGTGTTTTTATCAGGAAGGTTGTGCATTTTGCATATGTTCCTCTCCCGTTTTCTACTAAGAAGCAGCTGGAAGCCAAAGAAGGCCCTATCCATCATCTCTCCTATGGCCGGACTCTGAACCTGGACACAAGAATAGGAGCCTTTCACTCAAAAATAAAGGAGGAAATTCCATTGACATACCAGGGTCAATCACCATCCAAATGAACTTGAGAGGGGATACTTGTCACGGATTGAAAACACTTTCACTATTCATATTCAACTCGGTCTTTTCAGATGCAAAAAAGTTCATTATCAGACATTAAATGTAATTGTAAAACTGACCTGGAGATCATTTGCTGAAGAAAAAACGGGGAGTTGCGATGGCTCCTGATTTATTAAGCTTTTTTATTTGGAATCCTCACAACCCTTCATTTGAAGACAGTCTCAAGTGAACAAATTTTAATTAGATAAACTATCTAATCAATATATCAACAGATCAATCAAAACAGCAGCTTTTAAAATGAGTGGCTAGAGGGGTGTTTCTGAAACTAATGGCTATAAGAATATTTCCCTGAATTGAATTCATTTGTTAGCATAATAGGAGATTAAAGTCTAATTAGTGTAGCAGGTTGTGAAGAGAAACAATTGTGAGTTAAAAATCACCAGCGTTAGCCACAGAAACAAAGATGTGCTCGTACTTGTCATTCACTTTATTTAAAGCCAAAAGTACCAGCCGCTGAACTTGCTTGTCTTAAAAGATCTGCTTTTAATCTACATTGCTGAAAGCATGCAGGTTTTTATTGTGATTTTTTTCTTTTTTTCTCTTCCAGGTTGTTGTATCAACAACAGTCAATGTGGATGGCCACGTTCTGGCTGTCTCAGACAACATGTTTGTACACAACAATTCCAAACATGGAAGGCGGGCTCGCCGCCTTGACCCCTCAGAAGGTACGGCCCCTTCTTATCTGGAAAATGGTAGGCACACATTTACATGTCTTTTTTTATTTGCAATGCTTTTTTGCACCATACTTTATGTTGATACACTACTACATTTACTTTTACATGATTTCATTCTTCATCGATCAAGCCACCCATTAAAAAAGTCCATTAGTATTTCTCAGCCCTTCAACAGGAATACAATCTCTTTTGAATTTGCTTTGGAATTCTTTCTTTATTTAATAGTTAAAGTTTTGCCGTCACAACCAATTTTTCATTCTTTTTCCTTTTTTTTTTTTTTTTTTTTTNTTTTACCCTTGTTTTCCTTGCAGCTTTTTCTTGCTACTTAATTTGACTCGATTTTATTTTGGCTTGTCATACTCCTCGCTCCAGAGGTACGGTCTCAGGTTCTGTGCGCAAGTTTAAGTGGATGGTAAAAAACATGACCCAATGTGCAAGGAATTTGCAGTGAGGTCAGTTTCCTGCCGCCGGGCCGTCCTGCTGCACGCTGCCGCTGTAGGACGCGGCATGAGAAAAACAGCCAAAAATGCTTTTTCTTCAGGCCAACTCAGTGTGATTGACTTCTTGCCTGAACTGCTAAGAGGAGATAGTGTGGGATGAAGAGGAGATAGTCTGGGATGAAGAGGAAGATGGGAAGTGTCTGTGAGAAGCAAGGGTCCTGAGGCAGCACTAGCTAGGTTTGGGTGTTTCTCTGCTGCAATAGGCAGCAACCTGAAGATACATAATGACACCCAAGTAACACACTTTTAATAAAATTAAATGCCTTTAGGTGAAACACACTTTGATTTCTTACGGAGCTAGGATTTGCACGAGCTCTGTCGTTAGAGACCTCTCCGTGGCCAGCCCGAGCGCGCGGCTTGCAGAGGGGCTGCTGCCGGCCTCCAAGTGGTGACAGGATCCTGCCTTTTCACACTAACAGAATTAAACAACTGAAGTAGGAGCTGAAGAGCAAGCCGCTAAAATAATCATTGCCATTTTATGTTTGAAATAATACTTGCCAGTGCACACCCAGAAAAATGAACGAGGCAAGCAATAATTATCAGAAGGAAATGTGATCTTGATATAAAAAAATCGAAAACAGTTGATGAATCTGCTGCAGCCACACACACACACACAAACTAATTTGCTTTTCTGCATTAATAACTAAGGTATAAGAGAACAAAAATATAATAATTAAAGGTCGCCCTGAGCACCAGAGTCATTATGGCCCATGACGTATTGTTTATCTCGTTCATATGCACCGCAAGTAGGTGTGTGTTTTGCCTAGCAACCGTCACTAATGAGGTTCACAATTAAGAGGGTTGAATCCTCTCCCCTCGTCCTCGCCCTCCCCAGAGAGCGCCAACCAGCCGCGCTAGAGGTTCACCACGCAGGCTCAGCCCTGTGGTGTTAGGCTCTCGTCTAGGTCCAAACTCAGCCTCTTCTAATGAGCTATTATGATCTTAGCGAAATACAACTATTTATTTTCGTAAGCGGTGCGAAAGAGAATTTGACTCTAAGCAGAAAATGCCACTTAGAAAAATAAAGGCCACTCTTAAGTGCTACGGAAGATGTACATACATTCCGCTAGCCAGCAGCTCCTTTTGGGGCCGCG